TGGCTGCTCATTGCCCGGCTGTACAGAACGGGTGAATGCCAGGAATCCCAACCCGCACCCAGCCCCTTCACCCTGGGCGACTCACCTTGAAGCATGAATCTCAACATTCCGTGATGGGCATCGTTTACATGATTTTCAACTGGCAGCGCTTGCAGTGTTGCTAAGTTAACTATTAATAAAGTGTGAGAACTACGGATAATGCTACTGTCATGCAGAATCTAACGCTATGTGGTAAGAGCCATGGGTTGAAGTTTACGGTCGGGCTTTGCTTTTGAATAACGGAACACCCCGTCGCATCAGTGGGGGCAATTTAAAGAGTCCGTAAGGACAGGGAGGTTTCCTCTGTGGCTGGGGTAATCTGCACACCCCTTCTACTGCCTTTGGGTCATCCAGAGACAGCTTTGATGCCAAAAAAAGAAAACAAACTGAAACACAAAGGAGAAGAAAGGAATGTCCAGACCATCAGGCTGTGGCTCTGCAGGTGAGAGCAGGCTGATGCGGCACGTCAGAGCCTGGCACAAAAAGAACACGGTATGTGTTCAGTTTTTCTCTACGTGCGCAGCAGCCGGGCAGGCAGCAGTGCTGGGGCCACCCGCGGGACGGGGCTTTTAGCCTGCCAAAACACATTCGAGAGGGAGAGCTTGGTGCATTTACGGCACAGTTGTAAAGATATCGGTGTGCTGGCCTTGTACGCTTCCAGCAACACCCGGTGGCATTAAACCAGGGGGGGTTAATGGGCCCCTTCCCGCTCCCCCCCGCTCTGGGCAGTGCAGCATCTCCCAGAAAAGAAAAATCGGGATTCAAACCCAGCAAACCTATTCCGCAGGAGCTCGGGACAGCTCAGACGGGACGCGGCAGCGCCGCAGCCATACACAGGGCAGGGAACAGACGCCGCAGGGGCCCGGGGCGCCCCCCAAGCCATACACAGGGCAGGGAACAGACGCCGCAGGGGCTCGGCGGTTGCCACACGCGTCCCGCGCCTCAAGCCCCATCCTCACTGCCGGGCTGTGTCTTCTGGGTCTCCTCAGAGGCACCGGTTCCCCAGGCACGTGGCTTTTCATCCTGGGCACGGGCACGGCACGGAGGTCCACCCCACGCCCTCAGGACCCAGCAGAGTCAGTCCTTGCTGCCAGCCTAAATGATGCTCACGTGGGCCCCGACTGCGCAGCGTCACCGCGCAGACTGTGGTGTGGGCAGCAACCGAGCTGCGTGGGCTCAGGTCAGGACAAGGGGCTGCAGCACAGCAACTTCAAACCCCTCCAGCAACTAGCCCAGCTCCAGGGCCGGGCTCACCGCGAGCATCCCGCCTGTCCCAAAGGCATTACCAACCCTGAAACCATCTCACCACAAGAAAAAAGCCATTTCATAATGATCCTGAAGCAGTTTTGAAAACAGCTGCAACTCCCCTGAGTAGCTGCAACGGCCTTACCTCTGAGCATCCTTTACCTTGGGAATGGTACCCAGCATCTCCCCGGGGGTCACCGGTGGCCGGGCACGGCCTCCCTGCAGCTCCGGGGCTTTGGTTTCACTCACCACGGAGGGCACGACTTGTCCCCGAGGTTCATGCAGTATTCCACAGCAGCTCCGTAAAGAACTGGATCTGCGACAGGCTTAAGTGACTCCACGTCCACAGTCATTCTTTCTCTTTTTCCTCCTGCAGCACTGCTCGGCTGAACAAATACGTTTCCTTTCCTGGGTTAAAAAGGGTTTTAAAAGGAGCCCCCAGGTTTTATTTCTTTAAACACTAAAATTAAGTATTTTCTGATAGCATTGTTCAGCCACAAGCGTATTTCACTTGCAACAAAAGACAAGCAAATCAAAGCTAGGAATATTTGGAGGGTAAAGCATGTCTTTATAATAATCATGGGTTGGTTTTGCAGCAAAGCAGAAGTTTTCAGACGGTGATGGTCCACCGATACATCCCTCATCTGCTGCTCACTGCCCGGCAGCATCACAGGGGACATGCCCCGTCCCCCGCACTCATCCTGCCCCAAACACCACCTTCCCAAGACCCTCCAGCAATGGGCATCGTGACTCGGAGCCCTGAAAAGCCACTTTACCTCCATGACCTGCTAACGGTTAACGCCCTGGGTTTTCTTTCCGAAAATGTAAAAGGCATGGCTTAACGTTGCAGTCTTGTGTTTTACTGTGGCTGGCAGCAGAAATGCGTTCCCTCGATGGTATGGCCACGTACACACAGACAAGACTGTGGCAACATTGGTTTCTTACGCTTTTTGTTTCAAACGACTCTATGATTTTAAAAAAATACATTCACAAAGCACCTGACGTTTAAACACAACAACTCCCTTCTATTTGGCCACTGTACCCAAAAACCCACGATAAAAATAATAACCATCCAAAGCTGTGTATTCGTCTCTTCAAGGGGGAGTTAAAAAAAAAAAACAAAAAACGAGTTATCAGTTTGCAGCATAGCTTAATGAAAAGCTCTGGGGTTTATTTTCTTTATAATTTTACCAATGAAGAGCTGGTGGCAATTAGTGTCTGTGATGGGACCTGTACGGGCTGTGAATTCCAGCGCCGCGGTCTGACGGCCGTCGCTGCGCGTCGCCGGCTGCGTGGGCAGGCTGCT